GCGCGAGGATGCGCCCCCGCCCACCTGGCTGCCATAACTGCTTTGGCTTAGCCTTTAAAGGCTGAGCCCGCTTTCAAGAATAATGAGTTATGGAGCTCATATAATACGTGATCCAGTAGTGAAGAAAAAAGCAGAAAAAAATCATGGAAAATGCCCTATATAGAACCCTATGCTGGCCAGGTGGGCGGGGCGGCTGACTCTTCACTAGCGAACGGCGCCGCCTTTTTGAGATGCAAAACTAGTACATACTGCATCCTCATAGGGAGGGCTATGATATCCAGAGAGGGCGGAGGAACATCAAATGGAACGTGGGCGCTGCCTTTAAGTAAACCTCTCAGCCTCGCATCGCAGTTACACAGCCGCTAAATGGGACAATGGGTATAGAAGAGGATGCTCACATAGGCTGACGCTCTCAGAACGAAAATGCCTCTTGAAGGCAGTGGACATGATGGCTGGCGGCGAGCAACTGCTGCCAACGTCACTGGTGGAAGAGCTGCGAAAGCGCGTTTGACACACTTCACTCAGCCCCTCCACCAATGACGAAAGCAGTAACCGCCTGCCCCCAACCATCATGCCCGCGATTGGGCGGAACCCGCGATTATGATCCACGGACAATGATGTTCAAATATGAGTGGCATGGCGCTAAATAACTCAGCAATGAGAAAAAAGAAAAAACTGCTGGAAACGCACGAAATAAGGTTCGAGTTGCTTCTAAGCGCTTACGGTTGAGAAATACCGAGTCCAGAAGAGAAACAGACAATGGTCTAGCGAGAGAGTGTACAAAGGGCTAAAATTCCGTCGCTATATAAGGATGGTGAAATGAGATGGAACGGGAGGAGGGCGATTACGAAGGCGGAGACTGCTTATCGTGGCAGAGCCTCGGTGCTCCTACCGAGCACTTCTGCGCCACCAAAATGGTACGTCCTCTTCGGATGTGGACCGCGCCTTGTACAAGGATGAGCTTCTTGGTCGGACAACTGCAGATCGGTCGTTAAATATGTACGTATTTCCCTTTGATAGTCAGAGGAATGCTCCACTCTCAGCGCCCAATCCACACTTACCCCTAGCACTCCCATTTCGAGAAGGGAGTTCTAAAGACTGTCCCATATTTTTAGCAGCCGCCAGTTCAAGCCAACTTCAACATCACCGATCATTCTGACAGAGAGAAACGAAGAAAGCGCTTTATCTCGCAAGTGAGTCATTTCGTGGATTAGCAGTCGTTTCGTGGCACAGTTAGGCTATTATAAACAACAACATACCGTTTCCATATCCAACTCCAGCTGCTTTCAGTATCTCACCAATATTCTTGAGTGATTGATGGGCCTGCTCTTTGATGCCTTCCTTCAACTCTCCAGTTTTAGGGTCTAACCCTAGCGAGCCGCTAACGTAAATGGTGTTATCGACGCGGACGGCTTGGCTGAAAACAAAAACTTTTCAGAAGAGCGTTCAGAGCTAAAATGTTCTCTTGGAGATTTGAAACAAAGATTTCAGGTTCAGCTCATTCAATGAGAACAGGCGGTGTTCATCGTGGGGGTGGGTGCAGCTGACGAACTCCTTGCGCACTGGGATTACTGTGGCGCAAAATACCCATTTCACCTACAGTCTTGTTCGCTGTGGATGACGGGGCGTGTCAGTGAGACCGGGTTTGACGCGCTGGCAGCTCTCGTCGCTAGCTGAAAGAAAAAAGCAAAAAACGATTTGGCGCCGCGCAAAACCTAACCCATCTCGACACGCCTCATCATCCGCAGCGAACAAGACTGTAAACAAAATTATTCGCCCACCCCGGGGCTCGTTTCCTTTTCAGGTTCAAGCGAAAATCTTCATCTCTTATTGTTTTGGAAACTCGTGCTTCAAATGAAGAGAAAGCTCTCGTTATC